CACTCCCCATTGGAAGGGACCCTACACGGTTATCCTGACAACACCTACCACACTCAAGGTGGACGGACTAACGTCCTGGATTCATCACACCTACGTTAAGACTGCCCCACCGGAAGGACAATAGAGTGTCAAACACTCTTCCCCTGATTCACTAAAGCTAAGACTCATGCGCTCTTCATGGTCACCACCCTTGCCACCCTAATCCGTGCTGTAAATCCCTATAGCAACTGCCCCCCATCCCAGAGCCCACCTGCTATCAATGGGTCCTCACCGAGGGCTCCACTGGAGGATATGGTAGCTCCTTAACTGAGAAGAGATCTACCCTAGTCAACTTAACCCGGGAGCACATTCCAAAGAACCCCATGACCTTCTCCCTAGACCTCTGTGACCTCCTGGGCCCCAACCTAAATTTCAGAACAAGCGAAGGTGTAGCTGGGTGCAGCAGTACAGGGGCAGAGCAACAACTCCAGACTATGGTATTACATCTGGGCCCAGGATCCAGCCCACAAAAAAGATGGAACTGTGGAGACTTAAATGAATTCTTTTGCCCCCATTGGGGTTGTGAAACTATCTCCACTATATCAGGGTACACCAAAAACAGACTCCTTCATCTCTTTAACTGAGACTCTCCCCATCCCTATGCTATACCAGGTTTTGTAACTCACTCAAGGTAACTGTAACTACCCCAGATGGTAGATGGACAACGGGGCGAACCTAGGGTCTCAGAGTATATATGAGTGGGACATGGGAAACATCTTTACCATCCAGCATATAACCCCACCCAGACCCAACTGCCCTATAGGACCCATTGCCCAGGTCATACAAGAACAAGAACCCCCCCCAAAAATACAAAGCCCCCTCATCCAGTCAATCAATACCCGCCTTAACAACCTTCCCCTACAACCCCAACTCGGCTCTAAGAGGACACAACCCTGTTAACGTTGTTGTCCTCGACTCACCACCTCCTCAACAAAACTAACCCAGATTTGAGAAAAGACTGTTGGCTCTGTCTAAACCCTCAACCACCATTTATACCAGGTTGGCTTCCCAATTACCTGCCAACCTGTCCAATTCTTCATGTCTGAAGCCCCTCACCCCCACGTCCGCCCCTTGCCCTCACCCCTGAAGTGGTTTATGGGCATAAAAAGTCTTGACACCCTCCTTTCGAGGCCACAGGTTGGACAGACACGAGTCCTCGGTAGCCGCTGGTAATAAAGACCCTGCAATTCGGCATACTTTGGTCTTGGTGTTGACTTTCTATGCTCGCTCCAGTACAACTCCAGACTGGCGGCTGGCGACAGAGCAAGACTCTGTCTCAAAAAACAAACAAACAAACAAACAAACAAAAAAAAACAAAAAGAAGAAAAGAAAAAAGGTGAATTCTAACATCCCTTCTACTCGCTTTCCTCTCTGTTCACTTACTAAGGCCACATCTTACATCTGCTATTCTTTTTTCCATACTACTCTCTCAACTCCTTTCTTTCATATTTGCCAGAAATTTAAGGTCGTTTGGGTTCCTCTCATTAAAAAAGTTCAACAGAAGTGTGTTGCAACACCTTAATCAAAGTTTAGGGCTAAGCTCTTTCGCGTTTCTTTACCCACGTTCTCCACTCAATCCTTCATATCCTCATAACCACTGAAATGAAGGCTATGAATATCTCAATTCTTAGCACAGTGCCAGGCATGTAGGTGTTCAAAAAATGTTAAATGAATCTTAGTTATAACAGCATTGTTTGTAAAACTCTGAAATTTCTAAAAAGCAGATTCCTAAAATGTAATAACCTCATAAACTTTTTAGTCTGCAATTACAATTCCTGAAATCTTCTATTCATGTAAGACTGTACTACGAAATTCTAAAAACCAACATAAAGCGTAAAAAGCCACTCGGAGGTCTATGAAATTTACCATGTTCTGTCTTCTTTCAATTCATTCATAATCTTCTCTCAAGATACAAGAAGCAAAATTAGTTTATGTTGTACCTCAGAATTGAGGTACACACTCATTAGGTTTCAGGATCTTTAAAGTTTTATCTTGTTTAGGAAACTGCTTACCTCGGAAGGGCAAACTGCCATTTCTCTCCATCTGGGGACCAGGGACGCAAGGGAAGCCCCCCTAAACATCACTTCCACATCCCCATATTATGCTGAGGAACTTCTAGTTGACTCCTTAGGCATTTCAGCAGTGTTTTTGGCTGGTCCTAGGAACTGAGGAGAGGTATAGAAAGGGAGCAAGTGCACATTCCTGGCCCCAAAGAGGTTACACTGCGAATAGAAGCAGGCTTGGAACTCGGAACTAAAGTGGTGACTGCATAATAATACACTGATGGGGTGGGGGATGGGGAGCTGCAGGCCGTTTGTTACTTCCGGAAAGCAGTTTCCAGAAGGCGAGAGTTTAAGTCAGACCTGAAAGAGGCTGATTTGTAATAATTTGCAGGAGGCCACTGGAGGCAGAGACCTGGGTTTTCCACTTAGGAGATCAACGTCTCCCCTAGTGGAAAAGTGGGAGGTCATACAGGGACTGGCTTCTGAGTAGTCCAAAGGTCGACCTGGGGAAAGACTGATTTTGAGGTTTTAATAGGTAAGTTTGGGGACATCATTGATGAAGGTGGGCAGGAAAGGAGGCTTTTTGTTTTTTTAACATTAGAGTAAAAAACAGATTCGATGAGATGGGTAAAACACAAATAGGAAAATTTAAGAAGAAGCATGATTATGACTGCTATGTAAAAATAAAATAGCAAGACAGAGGTTCTGGAGCTCAGGAAATGAGCTAGAGCATGCTATAATTTAGGTCTAGGTAGTGAGGATCAGGAATAAAATGGTAGCTGAGGAAATTTCAAAGTTGAATAAGTAGTAATAAGTATGAAAAAAAGCTAAACTACAAACATCCACTCTTTAATTATTAGAACCAAGAATTTATTGTCTTTTCCCTTCCCACTTCTCACCTCTTCCTAACTTACATCATTATATTCAAGGCAGCTTATTGAAGACACTGTTCAGCACTCTCCACCTTATCCCTTACACAGCTTGCCTTTGCTTTTCTTCCCATTTCACTCTTTCACTTCATTTATTCACATCATTTTAGTCCTTGAAAGACCCCACCCAATTACTAGATCAGAGGGAGGCAACTAAGACTCTCACATCTCCCAAATGACCTCCCAGAATGGCTTTATGGTATTATAATAGGAATGCAGGAGTTTTGATTTTTCTTTTATTAATATTTTGCTTTCAAGGAATTACAGGAAAAACCATATTGCATGCCAGAAATGCTTAAATTCTAAATATTTCATCTTAAGAGATGCCTTCATGTAATGATTTTAATGCATTTTAGAAATTCAGGTGGGGGACAAAAGTATAAGACAGGAGTTAGATGTTTTGAGTGGGAGGAGTACACTGGGGTCATTATTGAATCAGAATTATTATGCACTTAAGTATATAAAAAAAAGAGTGAAATGAGTACTAAACTATGCAAATTTATCCCTTATCTTTAATCTTTATTTGCATGACTACATTTTAAGCAGTTGTTATCTTCATGTACGTATTTGGTATTTTTTCAAATATGAATTGATTAAACACAATTGCTATTTTGTTATCTATTTTGCTAACATAAGAACTTCCTGTTACCATGTCAGATCTTTGGTATTTTGTTATCTGTTTTGCTAACATAAGAACTTCCTGTGTTACTATGTCAGATTTTTTTTTTTTTAATGGAGTTTTGCTCTTATTGCCCAGGCTGGAGTGCATTGGCACCATCTTGGCTTACTGCAACCTCCACCCCCTGGGTTCAAATGATTCTCCTGCTTCAGCCTCCAGAAAAGCTGGACTTACAGACACCTGACACGAAGCCCAGCTAATGTTTCCTATTTTCGGTAGAGACTGGGTTTCATTACGTTGGCCAGGCTGGTCTCAAACGCCTGACCTCACGTGATCTACCAGCCTCCATCTCCCAAAGTGTTGGGATTACAGGCATCAGCCATGGCGCCCAGCCTCTAAGTCAGATCTTAGTCATTTCCTTTTATTTAGAATCCCGCCCCACTCCTCCTCGCCTTCAGTTTTCAGTGTTTGGATAATATGCTGTGAATACATTTGAGCACCCATTTCTTTATTCAGCTCATACCACTGAAAGATACTACTCATAATAAAATTGTTAATGAAAAGATGGGAACAATTTTATAGCTTGTTTTACATATTGCAAAATTTTGCACTGTATTGATGTATTATTAACGTTGCCTCTTTGTCTTAAGCTCCCCATGGAGAATTTTTAGATTTTCAGTACACTCCACAGGGTGGCCAAAGTAGAACTGGCTCATCATTGAGCATAGGTTCAGTTAAAAACAACAATCTGGCTCTGAGTTGAGCACAAAGAATCCAATAAATATTAATGGATTAATTTTCCAGTATCTTAGCCTTGACTTGCCTGGAAGATTTCCCCTCCTTAATCTATTTATTCTCTTTCTTTTCGGTATCTACTTCATTATTTAAATGGGCAATTTAGGGTTAGGCAGTTCTGGATAACAGTGCCTTTCCTGTGCCCTTTCTGGAACTTCTCTCGCCCTTTTGCTGTGCTAGGAAGCCCAATTCACAGCCGTCATCACCACTAAAGTTACACCCAGGGGTCACCTCAAGAAGGAAACGTTTTCTGTAAGAATTTCTATGCCAGTGAATTGAGGAAGGCTTTAAAGATAACAGAAGTGACACGCATTTCTATCAAACAATTCGACCCTGTGTAAATCACAGAAATTCCGGGAAGGACTAAGGACGTCCGTGGATGATTCTGCGGCTCACAGGCACACAGGGCACGCTGGGTTTACCCTCCCGGGCCCCGGCGATCACGACAGGTGCGAAGCCCGCCCGGGAGGCATAGCTTGTTGCCCCCGCAGAGCCACGTGCGGCGCCGGGGACCGTCTGTGGCCCTGACACCTTCTCGAAGCACGGAAGGCGACTGCCCGCAGTGTCCTCGGTGACCGCGCAGAGCCTGCGCGGGGGCGGGACTGTGGGAGGGGGCGGGGCCTGCCGTGCGTCACCGCTGTCGTAGCCGCCGGACCGGAGGACTGGGTGCCAGGGTGAGCGCTAAGATGGCCGCCCCGGCTCGGGCTGGTGAGTGTGCGCCGGGGCGCGAGGCCGCAGCGATTGGCGGAGTGAGGCCCCCTGCGGGAGCGGACGTGCGACGGCGGCCCCCGAGGCCGGGAGGCAACTGGCTGCGTGTTCCCGCCACGCGGGGCGCTGGGGGGTCCTGAGGGAGGGGGAGACGGGGGCTTTGGGCGCGCAGAGGGGAGCCAGCCGAGGGGCGCGCGGCCGCGGCGGGACCGGCGATTTTTGAATTGGCGCCCCTGGGAAGTTTCGGTGGGTCCTGCGGCGCCTCGGCCCGGTACCGGCGGCCGCCTCACGAGTGCCCGGAGATGCTGCGGCCAGAGGCAGCGGGCTGGAGGGGTAGCTGGGGGAGAAGGGACGCGGAGGGGCTGCGCGCTGACCCCGGCCCCAGCGTCGCGGAGAGGCGGCCGCCGGGCTGGCGCGGGCGGGCGCTGTGTGGATTACCCAGTGCCCGGGTCCAGCCGCATCCCCCCCGCCCCCGCCGCCGGGATTACAGCGAGATGATGTTCTAAGCCCCGGGGCGCTTCGGGAGGGCGGTTCTGGCGCTTGGTTTAGGAGGAATGCGCTTCCCTGCGTCTTGCCCATCTCCTCTCCATCGATCTGCCCCGGCGCTGCCAGCACCTGCTGCCGCTTAAAGATCCCAGTGCTTGAAAATCAGTTTCCTGAAACCATTCCCGATGGCCTTTGATGAGAAAGAAATGCCAGATGACTGAATTCATTATGGGGGATAAGAAACCTGTCAGTGTGGGCGGAGGGGAACCTGTTAGTATGTTAAATGTTAAGAGTAGGTTAGACACCATCCCCTGCCCCCAGGAAAAAAGAAAGTGAAACACATAGTAATCGTTTCATATGCAACTTTGAGCTGTTGAAACAAAGTGAAACATAGTAATTTTTCAAATGCAAGTTTCAGCGGTTGTTAAATTCTACTGATAACTGCCAGTTTTAATATTTGAAGCAAAACCATTTAGGAATTCTTGGGAAATTCACTTTTTTCTCAGACCAACCCCCAAATTTCCCACTCCCACCACCTTTTAAATCTTAATTTTTGTATCTGGGAAAGAAACGGGGATTGTGAAATTAACATGGAAATAAGACCTTCAGGTCCTGCACTTGAATTCCTTATTATCTGTTAAGTAGCTGCCTGTGGGGGTGAAAGTGAGTTTTCGGGCCTGGAATTCCATTTCGAGTTGTGTTCAAAACGAGCCTTTGGTGTAAACAAGGAAAAAGAATGGGTTGTTCACTGTGGTGAAGTTCGGAAAGCCAAATAGGAGTTAAGTACATGCTTATTTCATAATCTCAATGAGATTCAATATTCAGTTGCCTTGAAAGAGAGGAAAGTTTGTGTTCTTGGAACCCTAATCGTTTTGTCCTTAATTTAGCATCTTGGGATATTTGAAAGAGGGTTTAAACGCTTTGGCACTTGCAAGTTTTCTCTCTCCGTTCTAGCGTTTTTCCTACTAGCCATTAGTTTTGCATATGTTCGATGTCAAATTTTTTAATCCAGTATTTATCACTGTGGATTATCCAAATTCAAATGTGGAGATATTCTAATATCGAAAAATTAGTCCAGTGCATACAGTTTAGAAAGTTGAAATGTTTTGACTACTTTGTATACCAGTCTTGTTTTTCTTCCCAAATGTTAATTGTTTGAGATTTTTTAGCTTAAAAAAGTTTAAGTGATACGTGAACCCACATTTAGTCTAATACAATGGTATACCTTTTGGAATACTTAAGATGGAAAATCTGTTGAAGATTTGGGTTAGATATTTGAAATAAATTTTCTACCCAGTTGTCTTTCTTCTTTTTCTACAGACTTATCTTTTCTGTACTACAAAGAAAGAAATAAAGTGTCATATACTCAACCAAAGTTCTCCTCTACACATTTGAATCTTACTATCACAGCGTTTTGGTTATGCATAAAAGAACTTTCTGCTCATTGGGTTGTTTGAAGGCAGAGTCTGTTTTATTTGTGTATCTCTAGTACCTGACTGCTTAACATGGGGGAAAAACCCCTGTGAAAGTTTGTTAAATTGGGGTTTTGAATAGTAGAGTTACAAAAATTTGGCTTCTTGGTAGCCCAAAAAAGAAAAAAAAAGTGCTTTGAAGTTTTCTGTCCTTCCTGCAGAACAAACATGGGTGCCAGATTCTAATGGAGTTGTCTGGTCCAGGGGGATTAGCGAGAGGCTGGGGCATGGGCTCAGGAGTATCAAGATAGGAAATAAACTGTGTGCCTGAATAATTTCTGAATTCAGTAATGGGGAACAGTTTTGCTATTAGGCCCAGCCTAATAGCAAATAGGTGACAACTGAAATATATGAGGATTCTACAAATAAGGACTTTCCGGCTAAAAGATTGTTGTAAAAGGTGTAACTGATATTCACAGCAATTTTAGACACCATAAAAAATTTTATTAGGAAGAATTCATTTTTAATGAAGTTTTACACATTATAGGAGAAAGCTATTTTGTAGTCTAACAATATACTTGTTAGGCCAGATCATAGATATGCTAGAATGACAGAGTCTAGGCATTTTATACACAGAGCATTTGAATTCAATTTTTGAGACCCACGGTAGGATGCTCAGTTTTTCTTTCATTGCTACGAAGTTAGATGCAGTAGATTGATGTGTATATGTTGATGTCTCACTAATGATAACTGTTTCAGAATAAAATTACTTGTTAAGTAGGGATGGGGTGAGAAATTCAAATAACCTGGAGGCAGACATTGCTTTCAGGAGGTTTATCTTACAATGTGTTCAGCTAGATTCCATCTCTGCTGCAGGAGAGGCGTGTTAGAGACATAAGGAAGGCCCAATGGAAAAGAGTGTCCTTTATTGTTTAATGAGGAGTCTCAAGCAAGATCGGGGTGATTATAGATTCCAGATCTCTAAAGGAAGAAAGAATAACCAGGGCCTTTCTTTGGGATAAAGGAAAGGAAATACATCATTATTGACATGGAGAGGGGCCAAAGCACATAATGGACATAATAGCAAACCTAAGAGGGAGCAGGGAGGGTTTGAGAGCCCATTGTGTTATTCGTTCAGTAATTTGCTCATTCAAAAATATTGAAACCTTTTCTGTGTACCAAGCTCTATGCTTGACCCTTGGCGTTTTACAAACATTTCTTAAGAGGATAGAGTACTATGGTGGTTCTGTGAAGTAAATGGAAAATGGAAAACTGCTTATACCAGTGGGTAAGATTTACCCTAATTACTACAAACTATGGGTAAAGTTGTTTTCATTCTTATTCAAATGCACTGTGGTGGTTAGTAATTCCTAAGGCCTACTTCCTATCGAAATTACCAATTCCTCCTGTCTTTTATTATGGAAAATAACAAATCATACAACTTTTAATAGCCTGTAGGGGATCTGTTTAGTTTGTTACTGTTTAAAGAAAAATGTTTTGTTATAGAAATTATCTTCATTAAAATAAATAGTTAGCATATTCTCCCTCTGGGAGATTTCGAGAAAAAATTTTTTAATGAGATGCTTGCTGTGACATTTTTATTTTAAAATTTATTCTATTTTATGCCCAGTGGTACTTATATTTCTTCTTTCTTTAATAGAGGTAGAATGTATATATGCTTGTGTAAAATATGCATGCCCATTTCTTATGAAAATAGTTTATATCCCAATTATGAAGAGTTTTAAAAATTAAACATTCACAGTAAGATTTGTTAAAAACCTTAACAAAAGTTGTTTGAAAAGTGGTTCATCATATACAAGAGTAGAAAAGTATCTATTGTTCCAAAGTTTAAAGATGTTTATGTGCTATCTTAAGAAGTTTAGATTTAGCTTATGGTCTTTGAAGACTTTAAACAATCTTAATGTTTATAAAAACATGGCTATTTTAGAAATAAATTGATATTTATAAAATTGTGATTATAAGACACTAAGATATAAAATGTAAATATTGTATGATGATTATTTGGCTAATTATGAACTATGGTAGGGAAGCTTCTTAATAGTGAATGAAAATGTTATCTCAGTGTCTATTCAGATTTTAACATATAGATTCTTTTTTTCTTTATTTTCTTACATTACACAGATATATACATTAATTATTTTTAGGAGTGCATTTTAGCCATTTCCTTCATTCTGTCACTTTATTAAATAGCAATTTAATTTAGCTTTTTTGTTTGTTTGTTTGTTTGTTTTTTGATGTTTATTCTTCATGGTAACTTCCCGACTTGTATTAATTTTTTTTTTTTTCTGAGACATAATTTCGCTCTTGTTGCCCAGGCACTCACTACAACCTCCGCCTCCCAGGTTCAAGCGATTCTCCTGTGTCAGCCTCCTGAGTAGCTGGGATTACAGGTATGCACCACCACACCCAGCTAATTTTTTGCATTTTTGATAGAGACGGGGTTTCTCCATGTTGGTCAGGCTGGTCTTGAACTCCCTACCTCAGGTGATCTGCCTGCCTCAGCCTCCCAAAGAGCTGAGATTACAGGTGTGAGCTATTGCACACCACCTTATTAAAATATTTTTTAAAGAAGGAATCTGAAAATTGAGCTACTAATTACACCAATTGGATCTATATTACATTATTCATACCATTGACCTTTGCTACCTGATATCCTCTTGTAAGAACCTCCAGGGCCTACAGCTGTATAGTCCCTTTCCATGCTTTCTTTCAAATTGTCTTAATAAACTGAGGTAGAAAGGGAGTGGCCAGTTGAAAAGTTTATTATGTCAAAGATAACTAAAATTTACAGTAGAATATTCGTTTTTGAAGTAAAACAATTTAGCTACCCTTCTGATTTTTCAGTGATTCTTGTAGCTTTCACGTAGCTGGGGACTATAGGCATGTACTGTCACATGTGGATTTTTAAAAATTATTTTAATAGTGATGAGATCTCACTATATTGCTGGAAAAACATCCTTTTTTTTTTTTTTTAAATAGAGATAAGGTCTTGCTGTGTTGCCCAGTTTGGGACTTACTGTTTTCTTTCTTTCTTTTCTTTTCCTTTTTTTTTTTTTTTTTTTTTTTTTTTGTGATGTTTCCACTCGGCCACCCAGGCTGGAGTACAGTGTCATGATTTCTGCTCACTGCAACTTCTGCCTCCCAGGTTCAAGCAAGTCTTCTGCCTCAGCCTCCAAAGTAGCTGGGACTACAGGTGTGCACCACCATGCCCAGCTAATTTTTGTATTTTCAGTAGAGACAGGGTTCCACCATCTTAGCCAGGCTGGTCTCCACCTGCCTCAGCCTCCCAAAGTGCTAGGATTACAGGTGTGAGCCACCATGCCCAGCAAGACTTACTATTTTCAACCTCTGCTTTTTGTTGTTTGTTTGTTGAGGTAGAGTCATGCTCAGTCACCAAGGCAGGAGTGGAGTGCCACAATCTTGCTCACTGCAACCTCCACCTCCCAGATTCAAGCGATTCTCCTGCCTCAGTCTCCTGAGTAGCTGGGATTACAGGTGTGTGCCACCATGCCCAACTAGTGTATTTTTAGTAGAGATGGGTTTTCACCATATTGATCAAGTTAGTCTTGAACTCCTGACCTTGTGATTTGCCCACCTCAGCCTCCCAGTGGCTGAGATTAAAGGTGCCCACCACCACGCCTAGCTAATGTTTGTATTTTTAGTAGAGATGGGGTTTTCACCATGTTGGCCAGGCTGATCTCAAACTCCTCAAGTGATCCACCCACCTCGGTCTCCCAAAGTGCTGGGATTATGGGCGTGAGCTACTGCGCCTGGCCTGTTTTCAACCTTGGATTCAAGTATCATAAAGAGAATGGCCTGCAGTTAATGCTAGCTGGTTGCTCCAAGGATTTGGTAGCCTGAAACAATATGGCTATACATCTATACAATCTTCATAAAGCCCTGAAAAAATTTTCAGGTGAAAAGATGATATTTGAGATATAGTCTTTTCTTGACCATAAAGAGCCTACCCAACAGTTAGGTGGCAGAGTAAGGATGGGTGCACACATAATAACACGTATTTAAAATCCAAAGTACTTTAAGAAATTAGAGAAGGTTGGGCATGGTGTCTCATTTCTATAATCCTAGATTTTTGGAAGACCAAGGCAGGAGGGTCACTTGAGGCTAGGAGTTTGAGGCCAGCCTGGGCAAAATGGTGAAATCCCATCTCTACAAAAAATATAAAAATTAGCCAGGCCTGGTGGCATCTGCCTGTAATCCCAGCTACTTGGGAGACTGAGGTGGGAGGATCACTTGAGTCTGCAACAATGGAGGTTGCAGTAAGCCGAGATCATACCACTGTAGTCCGGCCTAGGTGACAGAATAAGATGCTGTGTCTAAATAAAAAGAAAAAAAAAAAAAGGAGAAGATATTATTTATTATTTTTTTGAGATAAAGTTTTACTCTTGTTGCTCAGTCTGGAGTGCAATGGCGTGATCCCGGCTCACTGCAATCTCTGCCTCACAAGTGATTTTCATGCCTCAGCCTCCGAAGTGGCTGGGATTATAGGTGTGCACCACCATGCCCAGCTGATTTTTTATTTTTAGTAGAGATGGGGTTTCACCATGTTGGTTAGGCTGGTCTCGAACTTCTGACCTCAAGCGATCTACCCACATTGGCCTACCCTGGGATTCTAAGTGTTAGCCACTGTGCCCAGCTGAGAAGATGTTATTTTTGACCAAAAAGACTTTATGAAGGAGTTGGACCTTGGAGAATGAAGATGAGTTCTGGAAATTAGCTGAGACTGACTTTTTGGCTGGCATGCACATGACAGGTAGAAGGGTAAAAAGGCAAAGAGAGGTTAGAATCTGATTGTGGAGAATTGTGAAAGCAAGACTAACAAATGTATATGTTTTTATTGAAATATTATTTAAACTGCTATTATGAAATTAGTCACAATCAGCATTTTTAAATGAAACAAGAAATATCAGCATACAATATTCTTTTTTGTGCTTTGAAGACAGGGTCTTTCTCTGTTGCTGAGGCTGCAGTGCAGTGGCACCATCATGGCTCGCTGCAGCCTCGACCTCCCCAGACTCAGGTGATCCTCCCACCTTAGCCTCCCGAGTAGCTGGGCTTATAGGTACATGCAACTGTGCCAAGTGATTTTTGCATATTTTGTTTCACCATGTTGCCCAGGCTGTTCTCGAACTCCTGAGCTCAAGCAGTCTGCCCACCTTGGCCTCCCAATGTGCTGGGAGTTTGTATTCTGAGCATGAGCCACTGCGCCCAGCCAGGATTCATTATTCTTTTTTTTTGAAACAGAGTTTCACTCTGTCACCCAGGCTGGAGTGTAGTGGTGTGATCTTGGCTCACTGAAACCTCACCTCCTTGGATAGTCTTTTGAGGAGTTTGCATGTTTTTTTGTATATATGTTTAAAAGGAGAAGAGAATTCATTTTTTATACATATCTGAAAAGGAAGTAGAAATGAGTTTTAACATAATATGAATAAACAATACAAATCCACTGTGCTAGAAACTTTTTGTTTTAAATAGATTGCTGGTACGAAATAGAAATCTCCAGTAAATAATTATATAAATAAGTATATATCTTAACTCTCAAATTTCTGTGTATATTTGAGAAAAGTCATAGTTAAAAACATCTCTTGGTTTTTAGTTACTAAAATTATTTCCTGGAGAATTTCTTTTTAAATTTAAGAATGGAATAAATACAATGCTAGAAATTTATCTGATGCATCTTCTTTATATATATTTGTATTTTGAATATGTATAGTATAAAGTGTTTTAATAAGTCTAGTTGTCTGTTATACTGGAATAACACAAATAATGCCACAGAAAGAACAATAATAATTTCACGATTAGGTGTGATATTTTTATTTTAAAAATTTATGTTTTGAGTATTCCAAAGATGCATATATTAATACTTTATTGATCTGCTCATTTTTAAAGCAGAGCAAGAAAAGATAAGTCTTATCTCTTGATCAGAATCCTAGTTTTGAACCTATGAAAGAAATACATGCCTCCATCCTGGGATTTTGATAGAGTTTTAAAATTAGTTTATTTATTTATTTTTTTTATTTTTTTGAGACGGAGTTTCGCTCTTGTTACCCAGGCTGGAGTGTAATGGCGCAATCTCAGCTCACCGCAACCTCCGCCTCATGGGTTCAGGCAATTCTCCTGCCTCAGCCTCCAGAGTAACTGGGATTACAGGCACGCGCCACCATGCCCAGCTAATTTTTTGTATTTTTAGTAGAGACGGGGTTTCACCATGTTAACCAGGATGGTCTCGATCTGTTGACCTCGTGATCCACCCACCTTGGCCTCCCAAAGTGCTGGGATTACAGGTTTGAGCCTCCGCACCCAGCCTAAAATTACTTTTATATAATGTTTTGTAAATACTTTTTTGTTTTTTTATTTTTACGATGGAGTCTCACTCTGTCACCAGGCTGGAGTGCAGTGGCATGATCTAGGCTCACTGCAACCTCTGTTTCCCAGGTTCAAGCAATTCTCCTGCCTCAGCCTCCTGAGTAGCCAGGACTACAGGCACACACCACCATGCCTGGCTAATTTTTATATTTTTAGTAGATATGGGGCTTCACCATGTTGGCCAGGGTGGTCTCGATCCCCTGACCTCATGGTCTGCCCACCTCAGCCTCCCAAAGTGCTGGGATTACAGGTGTGACACACCGCCCCCAGCCTATTATTACTCTTCTAGGGTATAACAATAGAAAACAATATAGGAAGTTGGCCAACCCAAGACAAATGTGACATTCTAGCTGTTGACCAATTTCTAATGGAAAATTCAGAGAGAAATACAAATGTGTTGCCAGCCATGCTTGGGGAGCCCAGGTTGTCTGGTAGCTGTGCTGCGGCTGCAATGTTATGGCCCTAGCTGGTTAGTCTGCAGAACCAGACAATATTATTGTGGAGGCTCCCTGGCCACAAAACAGTGGGTCCTGACAGCAGTGCATCTTAACTTTAGGTCTGTACTGTTCCTGTGGTGCAGGGGCTCTGAGACTGTTTGTTCAAGGGCTCACAAATGCTCTCCCCACATCACAATAAATATTAAAGATTATGATCCCAGTGATATAGTCTTTATCTGGCAAATAAATGAATATATTTAGGTGAATGAAACTGTCTGTCTTCAACAGTACACATACCACTAATAGCTTTTCATTTTAAAAGCTGCTTTCTCCTTCTTGGTATTTTTAAAAATAAGTGATTAACAATGCTCCCCTCTCTTTACTCATCTATAGAATGGAGATAATGATGTCTTAACATGTGTGCATAAGCTTCTGAACATAGCACCTAGAGCCCTGGAGTTGCTCGAAGGCGGTCTCCTTCCTTGCTCTCCTCTACTGATAGATCACCATACCTGCTCCCGAAATAAAGATATAAAGTTTTGAAGAATTTTAAAGAATGCTTTTGAAAA